TTATTATTATTATTTCATCTCGCTACTGACGAGATGATGCTGGTAGATAGGGTCAATGATGGTGGGTGGGGGGGGGGAGATGCAAATCTTGATGGCAGCTTCATACACGTCGACAGCAATACCTGCTACTACCTCCAACATTCATCCATGCCCCCACCCCCGCCGCGCATACCTCGCTAACGACGCCACAATCTACCCATGAAACTTACTAACTCACCCACTGACACAGTCCCTCTCTCTTTCGCTCGCTCGCTCACTCACTCACCCACTCACTCACTCACTCACTCACTCACTCACTCACTCACTCATTCGCTCGCTCGCTCACTCACTCACTCACTCACTCACTCACTCACTCACTCACCCACTCACCCACCCATCGGATACCCAAACAAAGGCAGGTGAGCTAATTAATCGTGTACTGTGCAGACATGAGAGATCTATGCCAGCACGGATCGATCGTTAATACATGTTCTATTCCGTAATTATACAAGACTGGGGTCACCTTCTCCAGATGATACGCATAGTTCATGTTATAACAACCTGCCTAACATCGGGGTATAGCATGACAAGTAAATGACCCGTGCATTTGGTGTGGGTTATCGAATCGCCACTGTTATATATCCGATAATAACAGGCAACAGCAGTACGGACTGACCGTGCAGCTTGTGGTAGAAACAACGCAGTGCAAACAGACTGCTTGCAATTTCGATAGAGTGAGTGAGTGAGTGAGTGAGTGAGTGAGTGAGTGAGTGAGTGAGTGAGTGAATGAGTGAGTGAGTGAGTGAGTGAGTGAGTGAGTGAGTGAGTGAGTGAGTGAATGAGTGAGTGAGTCAGCGAATGAGTGAGCTAGCGAGTCAGTGAATAAGTAAGCGAATGAGTGAATGAATTAATGGCCAGCTAACTGTAACATTAGCTTGGCTGTGAGGCGTTGCTGGCTGTTCTACGACAGCTAAATGACCCAAATGCCAGGCTCTCTGCCGAAGAAATTAAGCAAAACATGGGGAGAGAAATTACGCCTCCATCAGCTTCTTCTTATTAGAGATAATTACGGTCACTGTGTGGACAGCTCAGGTTAAAGAACCTTTAACTGACAATATCGCGGGAGTAGGGACTGCTTAGCATGTTTTTGCCCCGGAGTACATAGTGTCGCTAATTTCGTGTCAACACCGTAAGTGCATCCTTTCTGGGAGGAGAAATCTCGCTCGTTTTTCCTGTGTTCTCTCCCGCCTCCCGCGTTAAATAACGTCAAGCAAACACCCTCCCCCATCTTCTCTGACAGTCGGAGAGCGTTTGACACAACAAAAATTGACTATAACTTTTGGCGTTTAAGAAGCCGGCTAAAGAGAAAGAGGGAGCGAGAGAGAGAGAGAGAGAGAGAG